AATGGCCCATGTACATTAATTGCAAGCTTTTAGTGCTCTGCCGTGCGTTTTGACCCTTGAAAGTGATCCTATCTTCAACTGTGCAATCAACTATCTTGAGCAGACCGTTTTGGAAATTCAGCGTTAGTGTTTCATCGCTCAAGTAAAGTTTCATGTGAACTCATTCAAACATGGTCGGACTTTCGGTACACTAAAGGACTTCGCGATTTCGGGTATTTGGTCAATTCTTTTGAGCGGTTTTTGTGAACAGTAGAATGACATTCGTTAGGAAGTGCCAGAGTAATGTACTCGGAGATTGACAGAAAAACAAAGAACGAAATGTCCAACATTCATCCTTTTCTAGGACTCGCTACACATATTCCGCATGGGGATCGTATAGACTTTTCCCGGATTATCCTACCTATACCATGGTTGAGCAGATTTTCGCCGGTCTACAATCCTTTTCGATTTTATATAACGCACGAACTGTGCGGGAAGCAAAATGGAAGGTGTGGATGATTTTGAGAGGGCTCGAAGCCACGATTTCCGATGCTCAGAGAGTTGCCAATTTTCGCCCCTACAGTTCCATTCAGCAGGCCTACGAAGTAGTAAATCATTCAAAAGTCTTCATTCGAACAATGGCGTCATTTTGTGACTCATTATGAACATCTAATCCAACAATCTATACACCCAATTGCACGAACACCTTAAGCACTCGAAAGGGATTTTCAGATCGAAGCGATAAGTCATGTAGTGGCTAGACGACGAAAAGCGACGGCCACAAAAGCTGACTGAATAAAAAGGTGTACAAACGAGGGCCCTCGCAAATAAATGAGTCAGGCCGCTGCTGCTGGAAGAGAGTGACCAGCTCGGAGGTGAGGAAAACAAACTGAGCATAACGACGCGACCCTCCGCCCGTCCAGTCCGAAAATGGAGGTGGTCTATTCGACCGACCCTGACCGACCGGACAGATTGCAAAGCAGCTGGACGGGTGGCGCAGAGGGTGAGAATGCGCAGTGCCAGCAGACAAAAACCCCTGTAGAGATTGCTGAATTCTACTCCTTTTTCTGTTGCCCCATCGAATGCCAAAGGAGTAGAATGGCAGTAATACCTAAACTGGTTTATGGGCATGGAGAGAAATCAGAGTACTTCTTTGTTCAATGCGATTTTCTTGGAGACGCTCATCGAAACCAGATTATTAGTCACTGTTTGAGAGGAGAAGCTGAACGCTTTAGGGATCATCAATCAGCAAATAGGCCTGAAAGGCCTAAAAGGAGTACTATTCTTGAAAAGTTATGTTGGAACAGTCCTATAGCAAAAAAAAACTCCTACTCGGTTACGGCTAGAAAGGTACGCTTATAGAAGTTGTTCTTTGAGAATTATGGTTATTTTTCCATTAATCGGATAAATTAGGCATGAAATCAGAAAAACCGAGAATGCTCTCAAGGGTGATTGCATTTCTTGGTGTACACCATGTTTTTCTTCTCTCTTCAAGACATTTACGATAGCGCGGCAACTACGTATGCCGTCATTTGCAAGCCACATTGGACATAGTGGTAACTATGTATGCCACACCCAGTAGCTTGGCTTTTTGGTCAATTTTCTGTGTTTTGTTTTCTGATCATTCTATAGGCCACTCATTATCTCAGAAAAAATGCAAATGTATGTATTTGAATGGCATGATAAGTGTTTTATTGACACAACTTCGTCGAAAATAATTTTCAAATCACTACAGCAAAATTAAGTGAATTTGCCTTTTCATTGCTATAACACGTCATTTTGGTCAAACTTCTATTACTGTAACTCCCGATAAGTTGAACAATTCAACGGCATCGAAAACATTTTCTCGCATCCGAGTATTGCGTATTTGGAGCTCGAAATCCACAGATTTGAGGTGAGTGATCGCGCTCGCGAAATCGCGCTGGTCTCACGCGGTCAAAAATGCAATCGCGCGATGTTATCAACGTGTTAAGTCAAACGCTACAACAGCAGCTGTCTGCAAATTTCCCATTACTACGGTACGATAGTATGATACGCAGCTGTCAAGACACTGACAACGACGCGTCATGGTACTTTCTTCAGGCCACGTAGGCCATCGTGACAAATATGTGTGGCACACCACCTTTTCGAGCGCGCGACTTCAAAATGTGCAACAAGTGCTGATCATCTAATGCCTTCCCTTTACTGCTGCGACCGCTGCCACCCTTGTCAATCGCAACGTAATTGGCGTCTGCGTCCTCTCGCGCGTGACGGGCTTTCTCGCGTTTTCCCTCCCATCACAGCGCTCTGCCTCCCTTTCCTACCACGGCATACCTATCAAAAATTTAGGTTTCCTACGGTGTTCTTGTGTAATTTTCTAACAAAGTCCCCGCCAATTCATTCGTGCCTTCCACTTTTTGAGACCTATGGTGCACATATCTACTACCACCTCAAAGGAGGTGGGAAGACACCGAATATGTTCAGTTGCTATGGGGAAGAGGCTTCTTTGATGAATCGCTTCATTACTAGTGGTGTACTACAGTAGGAGAACAACTCCAGTGCACCTTTTTTTGTGAAAAGCTACTGGAGTACCTCTGGGTGTGAGGATATTGCTTACGTTGTCAGGCTCATTATCGATTCAACTCGCTCAACTGATCTACCATTGTGTGTACCTCTTGGTGCGAATACTCCAGAAATTGGACGTAGACGACGCAATAACAAGTGATATCGCACGCCACTGCCATGGATCAGAGGATCGAAACCCGTTCATAGCCATGTAACCGTGTTCCACCAGAGTCGAAGGGCACCAGATCTAAGAGCAGGACGAACACAACCGTGTCAACGGATAACCTCATTAACGCCTGCCTGAGCCGAATCGGCATCCGGATGTCTCAAGGATTTGATTATACTATGTCGAATCCGTCGGGAAGAGGGGCTAGAGGGGGGGGGGGAGAACATATAAGGATCGTGATGCTACAGTGAAGATAATGTCGTAAGCGCGGAGTCACATGCAAGCGCCACGCTTCGGCAGGTCTGAAACTTAACGACCAGTCGCTAGTGATTCGTCGCAAGGTTTGACACTTGCCTCACGACGTCGTTATCGCGCTTTTACCTGCTTTATTTGTCCGTCGTTGCAGTAGAAGTTTTCATGAATGCGCTATGGTTTCCATGAAAAAAACATCAGCTCGTCTTCAACGGTAAGGGTGCAATTTGTAATTCCCCGAAGAGGCAGTTTCGATCGGCGCATTTCATAATGTTGGATTTGGGTTTTCATTATTTGCTTGTCGTTTATTTGTTTCTTGTTTGAGTGTTTCTTAACACGTAGGAAAAGAATTTTCGCCCCGCCCCCTCTACTCCTTAATAAGCTTGCTCTTAGAAAAGGGTGGCAGATTGAAAGCAGCATCAGACTGCTTCCATTGGTTGCGCCGTTGAGAACGCGGATAGTGCGGACACTGCGAAGAGCGTTAACACACGCACTGGCGCATGGCGCGTGCTTGAAGCAAAGTCGGTAAGTTCGACCGATCAATTTCAATTTCAACATGGCCTATCTGTCTTTTAATGTTGTACGCGCCGCCATACTTTCGGTCTTATTATTATAACTTACTACTTTTGTGATAGTTGCATAACTATTTTTCAGTAGTTTCTCAACGGTTAGCGTCGTCTACATGCATGTAAAAGTGCTCAAAGTGCTGTAAAAGCCCACAGGGGAGCTCATTAATGCGCAAAAATAAACCCTTGTATACGAAGTAATAAGTTTTACGTTAGAAAAAAACATGATCGGAAGCAGCACGGTACGCAAAACATCGAAAAACAGTTAGAATATGTTAAAGTTGAAATTTATCGATCGGCACCGACTGTGCGCCAAGAACGTGTCTTGAGTCAGTGCGCGTGTTGACGCTCGGCGCAATGTGCACGCTGTACGGATCGTCCGCACTGCCCGAAATGTCCGCTACGGCGCTAAGTATAACTGTAGCCTTTCCAGGACATCATCAGGAATACCGCAGAAAGAACCAAAAGAGAGGATATTGGCGGAATTGGGCTGACCCCGTTTTTTTCTTTTCTCTGCAGTGTTTGACCTGCAGTATATTTTTTAATATAAGACAGCGTCACAATCCGAAATGCAGTGGAATATAGCTTGAAGCAACAGTTCCACCAGAGTTTTTACCTTCGACACTAATGGCGTGGAACGTTGCGATAGCCCTAGTCAAGAGCATAGGAAGGGTAATTGAACAAAAACTTATTTTGAAAAGCCGCTGGACGCGAACGGCTCCGAATGGCGTGGCTGAATCGCCGAGGGTATTACAGCTAACTGAGCAACTACGCCCACTTGAAAGCCATTTTGATCAATTCGAGCAGCTTTCCAAGGTGAGCTTTTTGTTCAGTCACACTTCTTAGTTCCTGGATTAGGGCAACGCAATCCGTTCCACAGCATTAGTGTTGAAGGTAGAAACCTTGCTTAAACTGTTGCTATCACTAATACGTTTTGCAAAATTGGCACCCAGTTACATCGAGTAATAAAGACTGTGCTTACCACCAATCAAAAGAATACAACACTATTTTTGTATTCCGTACTCTGCGTGACATTTGTCACTTGGAATCTAGTCCTTGCGCAGCGCTCAGCTAACTCACGGATATCTTGCAAATTTATATTTCCGGTTGTTATCTAGCGCGCCCCAGCCGATTATCGATTTGTGGATGTTCTAGGATTTTCCACGATTTATTTATCCTCCATTTAATTTGTAGCAAGCGTTCTATTTTCGACTATGTCTTGAGTTAATCAGAGCATAAATAGTAACAGTATGGTGCTGTTTTCAGCCCTATCATCTCTAGCTGGGTTCTCGTGGCAGAGTTTCCGTACCGTAACTTCAAAAAAAGTAGAGACTGAAGATTTTAGGAATCAGCTAGTGACGTTAAAGGTCGTTGTAGAATATCAACTTATGAAAGTTATAAGCCCAAGTGAATTTCCGGGACAGTGAAATTGGAAGGCTTGGCGCAAGCCATATTTGACAGCATGAAAGTCACTTACGAAACGTTGGTATGAGCGTGAAAAGAGATCAGAAATTTCAAGCCATCCATCATTTCAACTTCTGAGAAAGGCTTGCAGGCCAGATTGACAACTTATCGTAGTTATTTTGCTAATAGTATTAATACATCGAAGGGCAACCTCAGACCAAAGACATGGATAGCACAGCGCCGCAGAAAGCACGACTCAGAAATGCTTCGTTCAAAGTGAAGTTAGAAAAATTATTTGATCATGTTTGAGGATGAGTTGTCGGAATGACCCGTTTCAACGTGTAATGTAAATTATCGATCGAAGCGCTAGATTTAATAACAGATTACGTCTATGAAGGCCGTATGTTTTATACGTCGTTGCCATATGAAGGCGGCCTACACATAACTTACTGAAAAACAGAACCAGTCGATCTAATTGAGGAGAGAAATTACCAGTAACATACTACTTGAATTCTGCTCA